AGAGATAGGAGGATTTTCTGTGTCCAGCCTAGGTCTGGACTTAGCAGGGCTGCTTGTGGTGGGAGACAGGGGTGAAGAGGACTCACCAGGGTCTCCAGGGTACAGGGATGCTTTGAGCCTGGGGTCTGTGGTGTGCTCTGTGCTCCGTTCTGGCTGTGAGGCATCGTGCTGTGAGGAGCAGGCGCCATCTTGGCTGCAGGGGCTGAGAGCTGGGAAAAAGCTTGTCAGCTTTCCCAGCTTCCCTGGTGATCTGCGGCATCAGGGCATTTTCCCTGGTCATCCAGAGGAGACCTGCTTCCCCTTATGAGTGCGGGGAGAGGTCTTTGATGTCGCTGGGTCCGGTGTAAGCTGGGTTATGGCTGGCGGGGATACGGAGCTCTCTTCACAGAGCTGTCATCCCGGAGCCGACCGCGCATGTGCCCAGTCCCTGGGACACTTTAAACATCTTGATTTTTTTGATGATGAGGTTTACTGCAAAGTATTTTCAACGTCTAAGAAAAGGATATCTTGCTATGACCTGCTGATTTGATTGTACAGTGAAACAACACTAACCAAGGATCTGGATCGATACTATGAGACATCAGCATTACATAGATCTGAATCCAGTTTAACCCAGAATAGTACCTTGGGTGTACTTCCAGCCAGACATTCTAGTTAAAGGAATTGCATAATAATACTTTTAAACATCCAGAAGTGCAAGGCCACCAGTGGTTTTGGGATCTAGAGAGGATAACATGGGATATTCTTGGGTGTTTTCCTATTCCACACCTATGAATTACAAGCGAATTAAAAATGGAAAAAACCTATAGGAACACCCGGTGGTATCATTTGGAACAAAAATAAAACTTAGGGTAGGTTGTCAACTTTTATTACGTTGATTTTTACCTAGCCAGGAATGACAGAGGGGGTGACCAGCATCGGAGGTTGCTCTCGATGGTGTTCATTAGGGGGATGTAATTGGATTTAAATAGATTTGGTAAATGAGCGGTGAATAAAATACTTAGGTATTTTAAGCTGCTCATTTGCCATTGAAAAGGGAAATGTGGCTTAATAAGTCTAACCTCTAAAAAGGGGACATTTAATATTGCAGATTTATTTAGGTTAATTTTGAAATTTGACTGCTCTCTGAAGGTTGATTATATTTGGGGAGGAAAATCTGGAATTATTATTATATATTAAATATAAACTAAAATATCATCTAAGTATGCAGCGTATTTATGGGTTGTTTCACCTGCTGTGATTATGTGTATATTTATATATATATTGTGTTTGACAGTAGAAAAAAAAAGGTTCTAAAGGAAATGGTGAATAATAGAGCTGACAGGGGGCACCCCTGTCACGTACCATTGTTTAGTGTAAATGGTTCACTTAGCGTACCATACAAACAAATATGGGAAGTGGGTGATGCATATAACACTGCAAATCTATGCAGCATCTCAAGTTTCAGGCCAAAAAAAAAGGATGATCAGAAGGTAATCCCAATCCACCCTAAATGCATTTTCAGTGTCCATAGACATCAACAGGGTGGGCTGGGACTTTTTTGCCCACATAGGCTATAAGAGATAGTGCTCTCAAAGAGTTTTCCCTAGCCTCACGGCCAGGGATGAACCTGGTTGATTGGTTGGTTGGGTGAAATCCATTGTGGGGGGAGAAGAAGGAGCCTAGCGGCCATAACTTTGGCATAAAGCTTTATGTCTAAGTTGAGCAAAGAAATTGGTTGAAAACTGCCACAATAGGTGGAGTCTTTGTCCAGTTTTAGCAGGATCATGACATGTGCATGTAAATATTCAAAATGAAGACCCTCTACTCCCACAATGCAGTTAGCATAATTAGTAAGATGTGGGAGCAGGACTTTGCAAAGTGTCCTATAGTATGTGGAAATGTCCTTGTCTGTGAAATCTGCCTCCAATATGTTTAGAACATTTAAAGACAGAGTAGGCAAATTAGCCACGGCTAAGTAGTCGAAAAATGTGCAAACATTTTTCCTCAGGCAGGAGGAAAATTCTCCCTATTGTAAGGTGCGGATAATGTCAGAGTAAATGCTATGTCGCCTGTAAGAGATATATTCTTGGGTATAAAAGTCACTAATTTCTTATCCTGTAAGGAGCATGCAATTTATGTCCCTAGTTTGTAACCCCACACATAAACCTTTTGTGAAACTAAGTGATATTTTCTCTTAGTTTTAACAGTAAGTATGCTTTTTAGCTCTTATCTCTTTTGTGTAAATTGTTGTAAGTGGAGCCAAAAATGTGATAATTTGTGGAACTGTTTGAGATCCTCAATCTGCTTGAGTAATATAAAAAACTTCTAATTGTATTCTTTTTTTTTTTTACTGGCCCTTGTTCTATGAGTTTGCCTCCCATTGTAGCTTTATAAGCTTCCCAAATGAGGGCAGGAGAGACAACAGATGCTGCATTATCATTAAAGTACCGTATTAATTTAAGTTGAGCCTGATCAAGCGAATCATGAAGTAAAGAGTCGTTCAACTTACAGTTACAGGTATAGCAAAGTAGGGATAAATATTTGTGTAATTATGGGAGTGTGATCTGAGATGGAGGATACCCAGATGAATGATGAGTTTAAAATAGATAAGTGATAGTGGTCAATAAATATAGTATCTATACTACAGAATTTTGAGGTTTGGAATATTAGTAGTCACACTCTTGAGGGTGAAGAATCCTCCATGCAACCATCAGTTGGATATTGTGAGGGTGTTTCCTAATACGCTTAAGCTGTTTATAGGGGTGGAGGTGAACCTTGAGAGGTATCCAAAATAGGGCCTAGGACTATGTTAATGTCTCCAGCCAGGATTATGAACCCTGAGGTGAAATCCATTAGTTTAATAAGAATTTGGGAAATAAAAGAGGGTTGGACCTGGTTAGGGCAATAAATGTTAATAAAGGGTACACTTGGTGTCCCCTAAAAGACCTTTTAGAAATACAAATCTCCTGTGGTAGTCCACTATCATTTCAAACAAAATAAAGGAAATAATGTCTTAATGAAAGCCCTCTCCCTTTGCCAACTCCCTTTTGTCTTTTTAGTAGCCAAAAGGCCGTAGCACCGTTTTGGGTAGAATTGAGAACACAGTCAGGTGTTAGTAACGTGCTTTAAATGCATTTCTTGTAGGAAAGCTATAATGCACGTCAAATATTTCAACACTCCAAAGATTTGATGTCTTTTACCTGTGGAGGTCAACCCTCTATCATTTTAGGAAAATAAGCTGACACTCATCATTAGCAATTAAATTCACTTGTAGCAAATACTATTGTCAAGATCGATGGTGGGGAAGAAAGGACTAAGGGAGGTAACAGAGAGAGAGAGAGATGATTGTTATGAAACACTGAAAGAAGGGACCAGCAATAAAAATCTGACAAGTCCAAGCATTGAAAATACACTAAGTCACGCAGATATATGCAGTGCACAATGAGGGGACAATGTGACCAAAGGGAAGAGTCCACAGCAGAAAACTAGTATAAGCCATGGAAGCATGCTAATAGTCTAATGTGTCCACAGAAGGAGGGGGGCATGGAACCCCTGAAAAACAAAAACAATGAAAACATACAATATGGCCATAAAGCTACAGTTGGAGGTCACATGAAAAATGACGTTAAAAACATGTAGCATGATAACAACTATCTACTTCTAAGCACTGATGACTAATAAATCTAAGACACAGAAAAAACCTCAATGTAGGGCAGAAAGCCACAGTGGGGTGACTCATTCACAAGCCATAACAACAAGGTAAAAGAGCTGTCAACATTAGAAACAGGAATTCCAGAAAAGGCAACAGAAACAGTTGCTGTATAGTTAGCCAGAAAAACATGTAGCAAATAAATCAGTTTGGTCTCACCCATTTTTCTATGAGGAGCTTGGTGTACCAGTACACTTTTTCTTTGAAGAGGCTTTATGCCACTGTGACTCAGGGAAAATGGAGAAGGAGGGAATGCATTCCTGCCAACCTATAACATAGGCATATCATTTTCAGCACAGAAATTAGCTAAGTCTTTGGGGATTCAGGGGTATGATTGTGGAGAGTTCATCCTTGTGTGCAATTAAGCAGGATAGGAATCCTAAATGGTATGTAATGCTTGCAGTATGCAGCTTGTCCAAAAGGGGATGTAGTGTTCTGTCATGCTCTAATGTTTTATGCTTCAGATCCAGAAAGATGGTGAGAGACATACTATCAATGTCAATGACGGGTACCATGAACCTCCTGTAAATTAGCTTATTTGTCCTCAAATTAGTGTAAGTGACAAATAGCATCACATGGCTGGTCTGACAACAGGTTGCGGGGATGCAAAGGCCTATGTACCCAATCAAATCATAGTGAGAAAGTAGCAGAGTGCCCAAGAATGGAATTAAGAATACCTCTCATGTTATCCGGGAGGTCCTCATGCTTGGTGGCTTTGGGTAAACCCCATATGCATAAACTATTCCTCCTATTTCTGTTCTCTTCATCTTCCAGTTTATACAATGCTGTTCAGTTAGCAGTTGCCAGTGGAGAAAAACAATATCTTGTAACTCCTTAACCACTTGCCCTCCTGAGTATTTACTCCCCTTTCTGACCAGGCCATTTTGTGCGTTACGGTGCTGCATTATTTTAACTAACAACTGCGCGATCATGCAATGCTACACCCAAATAAAATCTATGTAATTTTTTACCCACGAATTGAGCTTTCTTTCAGTGGTATTTGATCGCCTGTGCATTTTTTTGCGCTATAAAAGAAAAAAATACCGACAATTTTGAGAAAATAAACAATATTTTTTACTTTTTGCTATTAAACATGTCTGGTAAAAAAATTTTAAAAATCTAATTTCATCATAAATTTAGGCCAAAATGTAATCTGCTACATGTCTTTGCTAAACAAAATCCCAGTATGTGTAAATGAATTGGTTTACATGAAAGTTATAGCATTTACAAATGGCGGTATAGATACTGGAATTTTTATTTTTTTATTTTTTTTTTATTTTTTTTACTAGTAATGGCAACGACCAGCAACTTATAGCAGGACTGCAGTGGGTATTTTGACACTGGAGGGAACTGACTTGGTGTCACTGACAACCCCAGTGACACCAATACAGTGATCAGTGCTAAAAAAAAAACACTGACACTGCAATAAGAGCACTGGGCAGGAAGGGGTTAACATGAGGGGCGATCAAAGGGTTAACTGTGTGCTGTGTGCTGGTTCACAGTAAGCTGTGTGTGCTTCACTGTCATCACACTGCTTTGCATGGCTGTGCTGTGTACATCCATCCAAAGCAGTGTGCATATGCTGACAGGGAGGAGAAGTGTATTGTTTACATACAGTTCTCCTCCCTATCGGAGATGCTCAGCAATCAGTGGGCACTGGCGATCCAGGACCCGCGTGTGCCCCCTACCTGGAAATGCAAAATCATGTATATATACATGATTTTGTGCACCCGTGACGCCTTGTAGCAGTATATCTGCTATAGGGTGTTCGGGAAGTGGTTAATAACCAGCTTGTGGATATCTTGCCGCTTTTCAGAATCTTACACACACACCAAAAGATGTGATAGCACATAGCTAACATCTCTTTCATTATGAAGCACTCCAGACCTTGAAACATGCCGCCCAATTTATGTTTGCTAAGTAGTCCCCTCATCATGGCTAGCATCTCAGAGCTGTGGGGAGACTGGTGCTCTTGCAAATAGTAGGACCCATATGAGGAGGCAAGGGAACACTTTCTGGAAGTGGGTGTGAGGAGGAGCTGACCTACTGTTTCACAAAGATAAGGCCTGGTTGCCCTGGGTCCTGGGATTCCTCTTGGATCACTGACAAACAAATGATCAATGGATCCCAAGGAGGCAAGTTCAGTAGACAGATGCCCCCCCCCAAACTCTTTCCCATTGTGGCCCTCAGAGTAGATGTATTAGCAAGCATAGTGGAACAGTAAGATGATGAACTTTAGCCAGAGCTCTGTCCAGGCACATCCATCCAGTACCATGTATAAGTCCCACACAACCCCAATGTGATTGTTAACACAATTCCAAAGCAACTCAAAGCAATTCAGAGGGGGTAAACTCAAAATTATCTCAAATACAAGTCTGGGATACCCATGTGCAAAACCAATAGACAATGTACAAATGGACACAAAAAATGGATGGTTGGCATTTTGTCTTTTACAAGACAGTGGTATAGCAGAGTCCTAGGTTTCCGCAAAAGCCAAGTTTACAGAGTGCACCAGTGATTAGATCTCTCAGTTGTGTACAAGAAGGTTTCCATTACAAAATATTAATTAAGCTTTGAGAAGTGGTTGGTAGATTTAACTGATTTATACTTGGAGATCATGATCCCACCTCTCCACTACCTCTTGAAATGCTTATAAAACAGCTTAGATCTATCTCCAATAACCAGTGACAGAGTAACAATACAAAAGATTAAAGCATTGTTTTATTGTATTTGTATACATTTTCATCTGCCTAATATTTTACTTCTTTCTAATATTTTGTTTCTTTTCTTAATGTTTTGTTTTTTGTTTCCTTCATTCTTTGTTATATTGTGGATAATGAATTGGTGCTTCACAAGCTATAAATTTATTTCAGTTAAGATTTAATTGAAGGAGAATATTGAATTATTGAAAATGTTAACTCAGTACAAGTAATATTAAAAACACACAGAACTATCATGAAAAGAACTAATGCCAATAACTACATTTCTACTTTATATAATTTTGTTATGTCTGCATCTTAATGGCTGGTGTAAAGCATGGAATGATGTGCAGTTACTGTATTTATTATTGATGTTTATATAGCACAGACAATTTACACAGTGCTTTACATATTGTTCAACTTCACTCACATCAGTCCCTGCCCTCAAAGAGCTTACAGTCTACGATCTCTAACTCAAATGCATACACCCACATACTAGGGCCAGTTTAGACAGGAACCAATTAACTTACCAGCATGTCATTGAAGTATGGGAAGAAACCAGTTTACCTGTAGGAAACTCACACAAGCACAGGGAGAACATGCAAACTCTAGGCAGGTGTCACGTACCTAGTTGGGGAGCCTGACATGGAGAGGAGGCATCCTCCTACTACTCCCGCTCGGAGCCCCTGATAGTGGGAACAGAGGGCTCAGAGCCAGGAGTGGTACGAGTGCCGGGTAGGTCTGGAGCTGGTGGCAGGCAGGTGAAGACCCAGGAGATCCGGATGCAGGTCTGGTGTGGATGCAGAAACATGGGTGCAGCAGCAGGCAGGTATGGCGGCAATCAGGATGCAGGCCGGGAAAGGACACAGGAGCGTGGATGTGGCAGCGGGCAGGTATGGCGGTAACCAGGATACAGGCCAGGTGCAGGACTGTGGGTGCAGCAGCAGGCATGTATGTGTAGCAGAGTCAGACAAGCCGGGTCAGGATCAAACGAGCAAATCAAGACCATGGATCCAGGCAAGCGGATTGTCAGGGATAAGCTGGGGTTGGTGCAGGTGGAGTTCTTTCTTAGTCAGGGTCAGATTAGATACAGGCAACAGAATCAGGTTATGGAGTGCAGAACGTTATAGTCCAGAAGGCATTGACTAAACTTTATTGGAGGTTTAAATAGCCTGCCTTGTGGTGACATGTACTCTAGTGCGCATGCGCGTATTCGCACGCTCCTGCGCATGCACGCCCGCACCCTCCCACGCATGCACACTCGCACCCGACAGAAGGTATTGTCATGGTTGGGATTCAAACCAATGTCCCCAGTGCTGGAAAGCAGAATTGATAACCACTACATCACTGTGCTGCCCACTATATGTACAGTATATGTGCAGCTTTATAATGCTAAGAGATGAGCAATTTCCTAGTAGGCAGTAGAGTGTAACAGCAGTGTATATTAACCCATTATGAAGAAGATAACTGTTGGAAGACATTCTTAATTTATACACAAAACATTGTAGATAGATTTTAATCAAGATGCCAGACATAGAATAAAAGCATGTTGAATGATGCATGAAAATATGCCAAGTGAGCAAATAGTGGTTAGCTTATCTAATACACTGTAAACAAAAATAGTGGACAATAATTGTGACCATTTTAAAATCTGTCCCTCTGCTGTAATGATTGATTTTTACAGCTGTACTAAAATCAAGAACTGCTGCACTAATAAATGTCCTAACAACTTTATTCTAAGAATAGGATTTATTATTTCTCTGAGAAATCTGTTCAGTCAAAGATAGAACATCTATCAGAAACACATTCCAAGCAGTATGATGTTTTAAAGTGGATTGATCAAGTTCACAATCTCTATCTGTAAATTTTGCTTGTTTATATAAATATACGAAAATATGTTTTCTTTTATTTGTAGTATTTGTATATACAGTACATGAGGTCCTTCATAGTTGGTCAGAAGATATGCACATTAGATTTACATATATTTTCTGTCATCTAGACGTTGCTGCCCCTGGAATGACAGCTGTCATTCTGTCAGTTTTTCCTCCGAAACCTGGGAAATATATAACTGGTTTGTGAATCTTTCCCATTTAATAGCATTCAGCAACAGCCCTGGAGAATGGAGAGTCTTTTCTCCCAAAATGCATTGGTTTGATATATTTGTTGATATTCTCAATAAATGCCTCTTAATCTACCATAAAAGTGCATTATTTTGGACAACGGCCGCTCCTTCATTCCTATTATTCCAAGTCAACGTGTGGAAATGACCTTCATGCCATACCAGAAAGGCAGCAGCCCAAACCCTAAGAGGGTTTACCACCAGTATCCACCATTAGGCACAACCTATTGAAGGGATCTCTCCCTACCTTCCCACGCAACTACCCACCTATGACCAGTGACTGATCCAGTCAGTCCAGCGCAGTCTTCAGCACAACCATATATTTTCTGTGTCAGACGCATCACAGACTTTGCTTGACTTCTTTGACTGCAATGAAATTCTATTTACTGAAAGAACAATACAGAATCATTGGAAGATGTAGGCATGCCTCTAAGAACAGCTTTGCAACTCACAAAGTTTTTAAGGTGATTTACATTGTAATTTATATTTTTATAGCAGTCATTCTTCAAAAAAAGGATAATACTTGTGAAATGGGTTGCGTTGAGATATAGCAAGTCAGGAAGTAAACCAGCATCACTGATGAGTATGTTGACATTCAGCAGCCAGACAGGATGTTGTCATTTGTAAAGGGAAAGGAATGTTTTAACGCTGGTCATCATGTTTCTGCTGAAGGGCCATCAAGGTATTACTCATTGTGATTGACAATGGATTTATATCACTGGATGATGTGATTGATGTCAGATATACATCATGGAACATTGTTCATTTTCTTTAAAAAGGACATTTCTATTTGGGTGACCCTTAATTTAAAGGGGTCCTCCAGATTCTGATGATCCTCCCCCAACACAGCCTTTCATAAACCCTGGGCCAGTGTCATGGGGTTGAGGTGCTTGCCCCCTCTATACAGGGATAAGGTACTTTGCAAAGGGGGAAAACGTTGCATCTCCTCTTTAAAGTACCATCTCAATGTTGAGGGCATGTGGCCTGATACAGTTCAGAGGGGGCACACACTCATTGACTCACCCTTTACTGGCTATCCAGCCAGGCTGCATGTCTGGATAAGGGTTTGGTATGGATTTTGGGGGACACATTGTTTTGTTTTATTTTGCCTGTAGCCCCCCTCCAATTCCATACGCTTATAAAGGATTAAGTTTATTATTATTTTTTTATTTTTCTAAACAATGTGTACTGTCTCTTAAGATTTAAAAAAAAGGTGTGGGTAAGGGTCTGGTATAGATATTAAATAGGGAGGAGGGTCCAAGAAAAAAGACATGGCCTTCTCAAATCTATACCAAACTCTTATCTAGTCATGCAGTCTGAAGAGGCAGTGACCGTACAAGCCAATCCTAAATCATGCCAGGCCACATGCTCTAAATATTGGGAGTGTTCTTTATATGATTGAACAAAGCCTCCCCCCCAGCAAGGCATCTTTTCCCCATATTGATGAGGACAAGGACTTCATCCCCACAACCCTGGCTCAGTGGATATGGGAGTCTGAGTGGGGACAAAAATAATAAAAATAAAAAATAGTAATTAAACCACTTGCCCTCTAGAGGATTTACCCCCCCTTAATGACCAGGCCTCTCTTTGCTACTCAGCGCTGCACTAATTCAACTGATAATTGCACAGTCATGCAATGCTGTACCCAAACGAAATGGACGTACTTTTTTTTCACACAGATAGAGCTTTCTTTTGGTGGTACTTGATCACCTGTGCACTTTTTATTTTTCACACTATAAACAAAAAAAGACCGAAAATGTTAAAGAAAAACTATATTTTTTACGTTCGGCTATAAAAAATATATAGTAAAGTCAAAGTTATTTATAAATTTAGGCAAAAATGTATTTTGCTACATGTTTTTGGTAAGAAAAATCCAAATGAGTGTATA